AGGGCAATGACCCCTCGCTCACCCCCTGGCTAAACGGCCAACACCGTTTCGTAGGTCGCGTGATAACTTAAAAAAGCTCCTCGACCTCGCCAAGCATGTGGAGACCTACTATGGCGCTTCCATCAAGCTTGCCCCCATATTGGAGCCAGGCCCAGCCTATAACGTTGGTTTTGAAAAGGCATTGTGCTTGATTATCCCCGGTTTGCCGAGCGCAGGACTGACCACGTTGTTCATGCTGCGCTTCCATACCAGCTCGAGGGCTATTTGGCAGCCCTGAAGCAACTGGAGGAAGCCAACCTCTACTTCCAACGAAATAATCCCCGTCACCCTGATGTTGCTCACATCCAAACGCTGCGCCGGCGAGCACACCAGATGATGGAAAAAGAGTTTACCACGGTAAGCCTACAAATCCTGGCGCTCCACCCTTCTGCTCACGGCTCGAGCGACCAGTGCAGCTTCGACACGGCTCATGCGCCTACACTCACGTCGTTTTCCATCGCCTCCGCATGGGACCTGCTACAACTAGCTTGTCGAACGTTTCAGTGTGGCGGCCGACCGCGACGCCGTTGTCATGGCTCTTGAGGAGCAGGAGCGTGATTTGGAGCGCCACGGCCGCCTGGGTGAAGCACCGTTGGCGTTGGAATCGGACACCGTGGAAACCCTGGCTGGGCTCGTTGGCTGGCTCGAGCAAACTGATGAACACGCGCAGTGTGTCAAGCAATACGTCAAGGTACACGCGCATTCGCACACAGCCCGTCTTTATCCCATGGCTAGACCTGCACACGGGCAATTATCGAGCAAGCAAGCACCTCATTTCAGCACCCCTCTCTGTTCCGTTGTCGGTTCCAACACCCAGCAACGCAGCCGCTGCATGAACGACCTCATGGCCACCGCCCGTGACGAGTCGCCACTTATCACTCCGCAAAGGTCTGCCCATCGTTCGGCGGCATTCTTGCGCGTGCCCGCACACACACAAACACACACACGCGCACGCACGCGATATCTGGCTCATCACACCCCTACCACTGTTCTGTTTTTGCAGCAGCCTGCCTCGAGCTCGCTCACAAATAAACAGCAAGGTACCTCCTTGATACAAGCTCATGCCACCTGACTGCCAGCATCGACAGCTTCCGGCTTTTTTTTCCGCTTATTTTGACACCTCATATGCTTTGGGCCAACTTGGTCTTAGACACCTACCAGGGGCTTCTTGCGGCGTCCTAGTGAAGTGCGAGCCCGGCGGAACACTGAAGCATCTGTAAGTGGCGGAGTTCACCAGCCACTGCCAGATTGCGCCTTTTGAACCAGCTGCCCCGCCCAGACTGACATCCCATCCTGTACTCAACTTGTGTAGGTTTTGGGCCGCTCCCACGACTCTGCTGCCATCAACTACGTCCAGGTGCAGTCTTGTGGTTGCCGGTCACCTCGCCTCCTTCTCCTTTTCTTTGCGTGTTTCCTTCAAGAGTCTTGACAAACATATCTGATTCCATTTCGTTTAGGGCACGGACCCTGTATTACAGCACATTCGGGCCTTTTTGGCTGGGGCACGGCAAGAGCTCACGCTGGTTCAAAACATCTTTTCAGAAGGTTTGAACGCCACTTGTGCATAACAACCACAGAGAGACTGGCTGCCTTCCATCCACACAAAGCAATTCACGCCGCCCCCCTCCCCCCCCCGACTTGTTATTTGGGATGCAGACCTCCAAGCTGCCATTTTGCATGATGTCGTGCTCCCCGCCATGGAAGCACTTCGCACCTCCGTCCGCACCATGCTCGACAACTCAAAGTACGCTGGCCACCAGCCAGATCATGATTCTTCGCAGCTTTGCGCAGTGATACCGCTGCGTACTAACCGTGGTGCATGCGTGCTTTGTCGGACCTTGACTTCGGGACGTGGCATCACAACCCACAATAGCCGACACTTGACGGAGCATAGCTTCTTCAACCTGCTGAACATATACGATGTTGTAACCGAGTTACATCGCAAGGAGCCTTGCTTTGCAGCCGTTCTTCGATACACAGAGGATGGAATGTTTCAAGCCTACATGGGCATGATGCTGAGGTGTGCTGATCGCTTCGCCTCTTACCGTGAGCAGTGCGTCACCTCACGTCTGTCGTGTACCGCAGTGTGGCTGAATTCGGCCGCCGCGTGACTCTCGAGTTCCAAGACATGATTAACACAGATGCCAGCAAGGTCCGGGACCTGGTTTCCATGCACCTGCACCTGCCCACCAAGCTAACTAGTGTGCCACATTTAGAAATTACCGCTGGATGCCACTGTCAACGAACTGACGGCGCAAGCGCTCAAGTTTGTCAACCACGCCATCGACTATCGTGAAGCCGTAGCCACGGTCTTGCGCCCTGATCTGGCAGCAACACGCGGCGAGCTCAATTGGCTCAAAGGAGAAGATGCCAACAACATGTTTTGTGACTGGTTACGACCTGGTACGCAGCTCCTCACCAAGACCAGAACGCGCAAAGGCATCCAGGTGTATTGATGGCAGCTCATGTGCCGTTTTACCGACCTCACAGTCATCTCAACACTGACTTCCAATCTTCTGCGCAAGTCACGTGGCTACGAAGATGAAAGCGTTGCTGCTGTGTTTTTGCTCAACAACTACAGCTACATTGTTCGGTATGTACATTTGCCTGCACATGACCCTGACCATCGGGAACCTCATCGTCCCGCACCTTGCTGCAGTTCGCTCGACAGTGAACGTTTTCGAGACGTCATGGGACAAGCCGCCAGTGCGGTAAGTCCTTGTTTCATCAGAGCTTGCGCTCTCTCTCTCTCTCTCTCTCTCTCTCTCTCTCTCTCTCTCTCTCTCTCTCTCTCTCTCTCTCTCTCTCTCTCTCTCTCTCTCTCTCTCTCTCACTC